TACCTGCTAAGGTCTTTACTGCAACACAACAGAGCTCATCTTTCTTTATGCAGCATTTCTCTCGTCGCTTTATTAATATCAATAAGGCCTGGAGACCACAAAAGGGCAAAGACATGTCAGGCAGGTCAAACCTGAACTTCCACTGAAATATTCTGAGAAAAGAACTGTTCTGATTAACATTCTCTGCTTGCGTCCCACTATCTAGAGGTAAAGTTTCCAAGATTCCACCTACAATGCTACTCTTCAAGCCTCCTTTGACAGTCTTGCTTTCCACCACCCATGCTAGGTTCTGCCAGTTAGAAGAATGGCCAGTTTTACAAATATGTAAGCGTGGTACTTTCATATTTTTCACATGCTTTTTTTTTTCTTTCTGCATTTGGCTTTTCTGGTAACAAGCCATGCTAGACGATATTCAGAAACTTTTCAAAATTTACATCACACTCCTCTTCGAGGAAAACATCTTAAACCACCTTCCCCATGTGAAATCATTACGCATTTACATCGGTCCATTTGTATCAATTATACATTTTAAATGCATGAAATTTATGGTCTGTGCAATATATCTCAGTAACATTGTTTACAGAAAACTGAATTGCTCCAAACTCAGGAAAAATACTGAAACACTCTCTTTAAGGACACTAGTAAGCCTCTTAACCCCATGAGCCGTCCTTGTGGAGTGCAGGGTTTGCCTGATATAATCCCTGTGGTGCCTGGCAGCTGCGGCAGCCTGAGCGTCCATTTACAGCTTGTGATTAACAGTAAGCAACTAAAAGCAAAGTAAAAGCAAAGAAAGGTCTGGTGAGAGAATCATCCTAGAAAATCTTGTGTTACTACGGATGGGAAGGAGTGCACAGAAATAGGAACAAGCTCAAGATCACTGAAGTGTGTTCCAAGCACATAAGGAAACTCTGTGAGTGTTCAGGCGAGGAGGACGTCTGAGTGTCTGTACTCACTTTGCCTCAGAGGCCAAACAGACTTCCTAAAAAAGCACCTAACTTTGGGAGAGAAGGAGACTGGAGTAATACAGTCCTCTAGAACTCCCTTATTCAGAAGAATCAGGGTTCTTCTACTATGAACGATAGTAAATCTACGGCCAAGAGCGTGGCCTCTAGCGAGAGGAGAAAACATGAAGCATGGCCTGCGCTGCTGCAGCCACCCCTCCTGCTTAGTTGGACACACTCCATTAGAACATCTGCCTGACAGCCCAGGAAACCCATTTAATACTGGCACCAGGAGCTCATCCACGAACCCCCAAAACAGCAGCACAAGCCCTGAGAAAGTTCATTATACATTTTTTTTCACGAGCTAAAAAGGTACCTATATATATTTTTTGAAGTACAGTCAATAACAATGTGTCAGTCTCTGGTGTACAGCACAATGTCCCAGTCATGCATATACATACATGTATGGTTCTCATATTTTCTGCAGGTACCAGAGACCTCCAGGTCTTTCAGAAACTCACAGTGAACAGAATTCAAGTTTCTGGATATAAGCCACTAAGACTCAGGGCTTCTAGTGAGTCAAAACCAGTAAAGCACAGGGGTGCTTCTCTCTGACTTTGCCTTGATTCTCACCCCGCCCCTCCTGAGGTCCCAGGGCTTTGTTCAGTCACTGCCCAGACCCAGACCTGACCTACCTCAAGCTTCTCAATCCTCTTATTCATCTTCCTCTGAAGTCTGTCTCTTTCTATTATCTGCTCTGTCACTTGAGCTCTAAACCTCCTGAAGGCTCTTTTCTGCTTGTGCAACTTTCGCTGCAATTCTTTAACCTTTTGCACTAGCGGCACCTTTTCTCTCTTGAGACACACAGAAACCGCTCTTCTGGCCCACTCTTCTGCTGCAGGAAGATTTCAGGGAAGAAGGAAAACTACAGTCAGCCCTGAGAGCTACAGCTGCTCATCCCACAACCCACCATTTCTCAGTGACCAAACTGTCTCGAAAAAGCAAATGGACGTGTCTGAATTCACCTGTGGCCACATATAAGAGCAGTTGTGAGAATGTGCTAGAAAAGGCCCTGGCTGGCTGACTGGACCTGCGACCACAACTCGCCTTGTACTCTTCAGATGGAGCAGAGTGTGTTCACAGGAGGAGAGCAAGCTCTCTGATTCTGGAGTTCCTCCCATCAAAGTTCTCGCCGTCATTGCAGGAACCTCCCCACCCCACTGTGAGCTGATCCTTCCCCTGTACCTGCTGAGGTCTTTCCTCTTTCTTTCATCTCCTCTGGCATTTGGGCTCTAAATCCCTCGGAGACTCTTTCTTGGTCCTCCAACATTTGCTGCAGCTCTTTAATCTTTTGT